CTCATATTTAAAATGGGGGAATAAAGAATACCACCTACCCTCTAAAGGTCAATGTGAAGACTGAATGAGACACGGAAAGCAAGTGCTCAGCACTAGCAACCACTATTTATGGAAAATCTGCTTCTGTACTTCTCAAGTGCCCACCTCAGGGCTTGACACATGTATGGACCTCAAGTTGAAGGTACACAAAAAAACAGTCTGAGGCTCTCAAACAGGGACACATACTAAGGGAAGTGAAGTGTGCACACAAACAAAAAACTGTGCATGGAAGAGTGAAGGAGGCAAAACTGTGTTGTGTACTGGCAAGAGAAGTGAGTTCAAGACTTCCAAGGAGAGAACACTGAGCACTTTCACACACAGAACAGCAAAAAGCCCAGAAAAAAAAAGACTGGTAGGTTGTTGAATCGGCTGATAACTGACTGGTAGACTCGAGTCGACTCTTGGACAGTCATTTGTTAGTAATTTCCCTCTGAGGAAAAGTGGAGCTGCAAACAACAAGGAGAACACTTGTCCTACAGCAGAAGCAAACACAACTGCACATCTGTGAGGCAGCACATATCCCCAACAAGCCTCAACATGCAGGAACATGAGTCAATTAATCTACTGGCAAAGCAGGGCCTATGGCTGCTTATAAGTACTGTGGTTTTGGGGAAATGATTCCACCCATGTCACTTAAAAGATACCTAAATAGTAATGCGCATGGACAAACTCAAACTCAGTTTCTAAGAAACCAAAATGAAACAAAAAAATCCTCCCAATCCCTCTTTTCTTTTTTTAAAGACTTATTTATCCCAAAGACAAGGAGAGGGAGAGAGAGAGAACGTGAGCAGGGGGAGGGGCAGAGGAAGAGGAGAGAGACAATTTTCAAGAAGACTCTCCACTGAGCTTGGAGTCTGAAGCAGGGTTTGATCCTACAACCTTGAGATCATGACCTGAACCAAAATCAAGACTCGGAACCCCAAATGACTGAGCCACCCAGACACCCCCACACCCTCTCTTTATTAAAGCCTGAGTTCTGAGGGAAAGTGGAAGTGTTCTATATAGCAAGGTGTCATGGCCACCTTGATGCCCAGTAGTTCCACTAGCAATTTATCCCAAGAGGATGTTCATACACAAAGATAACTGGGCATACCAATGTTAACCGACTCAAGTTAATACAAACAGGAAACTGAAAACAACCCACTTTCACTCAGAAAGCAGCTTAAATGAACCACACTGCCAACAATGGAAGAGAGTATGTCTGTAAGGAAGAACACAGTGGCATCTGACTACACGTGTGGGAAGCTGAGAGAGATGGTTTAAAGGGAAGACTGCACATTGTGAGCTAGGATAGAAGAAAAAGACAAACTGTTCTTTTTCTAGAATTCCTACAGAGTCACACAAACATTTTTTTGTGTGTGTTAAAAAATATATAAATGGTAGATAATATGGACAATATGCTCAATTTAGTTCATGATGATAGATCTTTAAGACAATTTCTGTATCAGCACATAGAAATTTATTTAAGGTTCTGAATAGAAGACCATGGATGTATCAGTATATTTAAGTTATTATACAAAAAACAGGCAATTAAAAATGGTACAACTCATATCTCTGAATGAGCTACCTTGTACATGTTCCTCAAAAACAGTCAAGGAACTGATGCAAAGGCCTCCCACATTTTCAAGTTTAATGGACAGATTTCACCCAATTTCCTTTCAAAGGGCTACGGTAAGGCATACACCCACTGGAAACAGAGGAGGGTTTCACTTTTTACCATATACCCTCCTGTACTATTTTCATTTTATCTCATTATAAGTATGTATTACTTGTAAATGCTCTAAAACACAGGTTAAGTTGGACATTATTTTAGTTTTAACATACACTGTAACACCAAAGACAACTTAAGTTAAAAATTTTTTAAGTATACAAATAGAAGATAGCAAAAAAAAAAAAAGTAAGGCCAAGTCACCAACCGGTTAGATCAAAAGAATATTTATATTCTAGGAAATATGCATAATTTTAAGACCAATATGATTAAGTTTTCTAAATTTCCAGGTGCATATATATGTGTGGGTATGCACACTTGGACAGCACTGTTGTGAGCATGTTTACTTATCTATTTATTTAAAGATTTTATTTATTTATTTGACAGAGAGAGACACAGTGAGAGAGGGAACACAAGCAGGGGGAGTGGGAGAGGGAGAAGCAGGCTCCCCGCTGAGCAGGGAGCCCGATTCAGGACCTGAGCTGAAGGCAGACACTTAACGACTGAGCCACCCAGGCATCCCTGTTTATTTATTTATTTTAAGATCTATTTATTTATTTATTTGAGAGAGAGTAAGCACGAGTGAGAGGGGCAGAGGGAGAGGGAAAGAGAATCTCAAGTAGACTCCATACTGAGTGCAGAGCCCAACACGGGGCTCGATCTCACATTCCTGAGATCACGACCTGAGCCAAAACCAAGAATCAGAAGATGCTCAGCCAACCACACCACCCCGGTGCCCCTGTTGTGAGCATATGTATAAGTGAAGGGTCAAATCCTAGAAGATTTAGGTCATGGAGTTAGGGTACAAAGGGTTCCCATCTGGAGGAGAAAGGTAGAGTGCTGAGGGAGAAGAAGAGAGTTTAACACTGCAGTGGGGAGGGGAGCCTGGGTGGCTCAGTGTGTTAAGCATCTAACTCGATTTCAGCTCAGGTCATGATCTCAGGATCCTGAGATCAAGCCCCAAGTCTGGGTTCTAAGCCGAGAATGGAGTCTGTTTAAGATTCTGTCTCTCCCTTTCCATCCTACCCCTCCTGCCCCATCCTGCCTGTACTCTCTCTCTTAAATAAATAAATAAAAATAAAACTATGGGGCGCCTGGGTGGCTCAATGGGTTAAAACCTCTGCCTTCGGTTCAGGTCATGATTCCAGGGTCCTGGGATTGAGCCCTGCATTGGGCTCTCTGCTCAGTGGGGAGCCTGCTCCCCGCCCCCCCCCGCCGCCTGCCTCTCTGCCTACTTGTGTTCTCTGTCAAATAAATAAATAAAATCTTTAAAAAAAAAAACAGTAAAACTATAGTGGGGAAAAGTACAGGAAATTTTGACACGAACAACATGAATGGCAACCCATTATGACATGGAATGAATCCGTTCTCTTCACCAGAAGGAACTGAGAGCTTCTATATTTGGACACGTAATGAAGATCCCTCCATTGCTCTGACCTAATGAGAGCTTACAGTGCCACAGGAAATGAGAAAAACCTGTATTTATATCCCAGTGAGGAGGCAAGACTGTTTAATAAACATGTACAGTTTTCTCCTCCCATTTCATACTTTTCATGAGGACTTGCGGAACAGGGCGTGCAGACCAGCAACATAATAGTAAAATCCTGGCTCTGACATACATGCTGAGTAAAATCTCTATGGGCCTCAGTTTTCTCATCTGTACAAGGGGGTCATAAAAGGTATATCCACGACGTTTCCTAGTGCTGTGATAATTCACAGCACCAGGAACACAGGACCACAGAAGCAGCTTTGCTTCACTGTAAAGTATCATGGACATGGCTCCAGGTCAGTGTATGTAACTTGAACAAATCCTGTTTACAACTTCACTGCATTCCACAGGATAGCTGTTCCACCACTGCCTTAGGCTGCTCTTAAGAAACAACACACACACGTCCTGGTTACATGTGTCTAGAAAAATACACCATTTGGTGCTTTTATTCTTAGAACTACAAACCACAAAAGGAAGGCTCGTTGGAAAGGCATAAATATTTTAAACCTTACTGAGTCAGACGGCCTCTTAACAAAGGGGCACCTGGGTGGCTTACTCAGTTAAGTATCCAACTCTTGACTGTGACTCAGGTCATGCTCTCACGGGCAGTGAGATGGAGCCCCGTGCCAGGCTCCGAGCTCAGCACGAAGTCTACTTGAAGATTCCCTCCCTCTGCCCCTGACTCGCATGCTCTCGCTCTCTAAAAATAAATAAATCTTGGAAAGAAAATAAAAAAGAGGGGCGCCTGGGTGGCTCAGTGGGTTAAAGCCTCTGCCTTCAGCTCGGGTCATGGTCCCAGGGTCCTGGGATCGGACCCCGCATAGCTTGGTGGGGAGCCTGTTTCCCCCCGCCCCTGCCTGCCTCTCTGCCTACTTTGATCTCTGTCAAATAAATAAATAAAATCTTAAAAAAAAAAAAAAAGAGTTGTAACTATCTCTACCAGCAATAGGTATGTGAAGGTTAATTACCCAGGACCTAAGAGCATCTGACATGTGGGAAGAGCTTAATATTTTCTTTCACTTCAAAATTATCCAGAAATAACAACTTCACGTTCAAAAGAATAGATGTAACCAGATAATAAACATTAATACTTCATTGGGGAGAGGGAAATGGGCAGTACAAAGGCAATGGAAGAAACCACGGCGGAGGTGACAAGATATTTCTAAGTACATGTCAAAGATCATCAGCATTGATGAGAAAAGGAAATAGGAAAAAATGACATCATATTACAGTTAAGTGCTGAGGTGTTCTGCATACAGAGCTTGTTAGGACATTCCTTCCCCCGGACTGTGATGTGAACTCTGGGCTGGTACTCATCACTGCTCGGTAAAACCCCAACCAATGGGGCACCTGGGTGGCTAAGTGGGTTAAGCCTCTGCCTTCGGCTCAGGTCATGATCTCAGGGTCCTGGGATGAGCCCCCCACCTGGCTTTCTGCTCAGCAGGGAGCCTGCTTCGCCCCCTGCCCCTGCCTGCCTCTCTGCCTCCTTGTGATCTCTGTCAAATAAAATCTCAGAAAAAAACAAACCCCAACCAAATAAAGGTTCTGAGGCAAGCCCTCCCAAAGACGTGTGGATGCTCCATTTCCAGCACCTTTTTTTTTTCTCAAGTGGGCTCCATGCTGGGCATGGAGCACAATGTCGGTCTTGAACTCACAACCCTAAGATCAAGACCTGAGCTGAGATTAATAGTCGGACACTCAACGGATGGAGCCATCCAGGTGCTCTAGCACTTTCCTGATCATGTCTTTCTCTTATGTTTTCAGAGAGTAATGTCAAAACTGGCTTTGCAGGAGGCATGCTGGGCAGAAAAAGGGTTGGGAAAAAAAGCACTGACCAGATGAAAGCAGTGGGGATGGAGAACAGAAGGTGGTTCAAAGCAAGCACAGGTATGACCCAAAGATGGACTCTCTGTGCACCGGCGACACAGGGCCATGGCAGCAGCTACCAAGTGGACAGCAGCACCGCTGTATCAACCTAGCAACTTTCCAAGTAGGGAACAGGGAACCAGGGTGGGGTGAGAGTGAGAGTGTGGGGTTGGAAGATATCCAAGGAGGAGAATCTATTTTTTTATTTTTTAAAAAATATTTTATTTATTTGACAGAGCGAGTGAGCATGCGCATGAGCAGGGGGAGCAGCAGGCAGAGGCAAAAGCAAACTCCCCAGTAAGTGGAGAGCCAATGTGGGGCTCGATCTCAGGACCCCGGGATCGTGACCTGAGCTAAAGGCAGATGTTTAACTGACTGAGCCACCCAGGCACCCCCCCCCAAAGATAATTTAATTTTGAATTATAAAGCATGAGGTATCTATGGGACCCTGTCCTGGATCCAGTGGCCAGTGTGACTGTGAAGGGGGAGGGCAGGACTGGAAGTCTGTGTGTGAGGGGTGGGTGAGGTCACAGGCTTTGGACATTAACAGAATTCAAAATCCACAGGTCCCACCTACTAGCAAATGACCGATATTTTTGAGTCTTAAGTTTCCTTGGCTATAACCCAGAAAACTACCCTCGTATGTGGTGAGCAGGATTAAGTGATTTGTGGCACTTAGTAGGAGTTCAAAAATTGGGAGCTTATCAGCAGTTTTATTAAGAGAAAGGACATAAAGCCAGGCTGCAGAGCAGAATGTGGGAAGTCCCGGGAACATGGGAGTAGCCTACACCTGGCTCCCAGGACAGGTGTAGGCAGGAAGATGACAGAGGGCAGGCATGCAAGTAAACTGGTGAGAAGGAAGGAGAAGAAACATGGTCAGTTTAGGCCAAATAGCTTCTGTTTTCACATAAAGAAGAGACATTTTCAACCAAGAGTGAAGGAGTTGGGGAGGACACCGTGAGAACAGTAAAGGTTTTCAAATAGCTGCTAAGAGGAATGGGAAAAGAGCCAAAGGAGGGCTTCCTGGGCAATTGCTTACCATAACTGCAGCAAGTGTGGATAAAAATCCACACCCTGCCCCAGAGGTCCAAAGACTGGTGATTAACGGACATCAGAGCACACCCCAACCTTCAGGCCAGTCTGCGACAGGGGCGGGCAACAGCAATCTTACATCATGGCACTGAGGCCGAGAGGGGAAGCCCAGGGCTTTGGGAGGGGGAAACAAACTGACATAATCCCTTACTGCCATGTTTACAGTGGGACTTTCCTGATGAATAAGCCAGCAAGTATTGCAGCCTCGCTTAGTCAAAACTTTCCCTAATGTAGCAAGTGTAGGACTCTCTGAAAAGGGAAGACATCATAGCTCAGACCTCACCTAGCAGCAAGGACACTAAGTGACCAAAGAATCTGGGGGCAGAGCCAGGAAACAATTCTGGATGTTCACACTTCCACGCTGGGGCTTCTCCCACTGCATTCTTCCAGCAGAATCTAACTGGGGGCCTCAGGCATGTCAGGCCAACGTGGGAACAGCATTGGGCAGAAAACATCTGCCGTCAGGGATCACACCCTGATGTTTTCATTGTTAATTTTTTGGTTGTATTTGTCGCATTGTCAAAAAAAAAAAAAAAAAAAAAAAGTCCTTATCTGTAAAACATTCCTGATAAAGACCACTGTTAGAAAGCAAGAATCTGGGCACCTGGGTGGCTCAATCGTTAAGTGTCTGCCTTTGGCTCAGGTCATGATTCCAGGGTCCTGGGTTCGAGCCCCGCATTGTGCTCCCTGCTCGGCAGGCGGGAAGCCTGCTTCTCGCGCTCCCACTCCCCTGCTTGTGCTGTGCTCCCTCTCTCACTGTGTCTGTCAGATAAATAAATAAAATCATAAATAAATAAATAGATAAATAATAAACAAACAAATAAATAAATGTAAGAATCCTATCCTTGTCCTTAACAGATATGTTTGCTGGGCACAGCCTGAGAGAGTTCTCACAGCCCTCGTGGGTGAATGGGTCCTACTAAACTGCATCTTTTAAAAAAACAATTTAATAGAATGTGGGCATCTTTCCCAAGAGCTTGTAGATACCTGGTGAATTCAATTTCTTTCCACAGTGACAATCAGGACGGATGGTGAGGAGGTTGGTCACATGTGGAACTGCCAGAATCCTCTACCCGTGGCTACCTTGCACAGTGTGGAGAGTATTTGGGGTGACAGGAACATGCTGCACATACAAAGGTTTGTACCACAGAAGAACCTCCAAATTATGAATCTTGGAGCATCTCCTTTGTAAGATCCTTTTAAAGTATAAATGGTCTCTTGGGACAGACAAAGGTCAGACAAATTCTTTCCGGGGTTCAGATGGATTGTGGAATGACCACCCGGAAGAGAAACAAGTCCCACTTTTAATCAGGTTTGATCCTGAATTGTCAAATAACCTGTGGCTCTAAAATAAGGACCTCCACTGAGGCAAAAGAAATGGATTCATCAAACCCCATTCATCAGGAGGTATGAGGCACCAAAGACACTGTGGGCAAGCATCCTCCAAGTTCTTGGTTATCAGGTGCTATTTTTAACTTTGGTTTGTGAGGAACATCGCCCAAGGAGCCCCGGACCCGGGGCCAGGGCACAGTCAAGTAACCTATCCCTCTCCAGTAAGAATGGGAAAATCACAAAACCAACAACACATTTCTGGTATTTAAATTTAGACCAAGATCCATTTTGCTTTCTACAGCTGCCCTAATCACAAACACAAGAAGATTATTTTGACTTTAAATATTAGCTAAGGCATTTCCTTGCGTGTCTGAGGAAGAGATGCACAAGGGCACATACCCCAAAAATACCTGGAGCCACTCCCCTCCCCACCGGTCTGTTGTCCTGCTCTCTCCAGGTCAGCCACATCCCATTCCCCTTCTCTCAGGCCCAGGCTTTCAGCTCTTCACAGGCAGGAACACCGCAGAGAGAAAACCAAATTATTTTCAGAAGACCATGAGCTTATTAAAAGAGTTTCCAGCCCATCAGACTCCTTTAAAGGTATATTCCGTTTTTAGAGTAGAAATCTAAATGTTTTTTAAAAACAACGATGAAGTCAGAGCCACCTGTCACTCTTCAACCTAGATGGCCTCTCAGGTACGCACGGCAAGGCTGAGGGACCAGGTCGGTGGTGGTCTTCCCTACGCTGGGCACCAAGGGCAGAGGAAGTAATGTGCTTTAGTTCTACCGTCTATTAAGCGAGAACAGCCACGCTACTCCATCTTGAATTTTTTTTTTTTAATATTTTATTTGAGAGAGAAGTGTGAGAGCACACAAGCAGGGGGAGCTGTAGGCAGAGGCAGAGGGAGAAGCAGGCTCCCCGCCGAGCAGGGAGCCCATTGCGGGGCTCGAACCCAGGACCCCAAGATCATGACCTGAGCCGAAGGCAGGAGTTTAACTGACTTGAGCCACCCTGGAGCCCCCCCTACCCCAATCATGACTCTTTATCACACATTTCTGTTAGGGAGATCAAAAAGATCTCTCTCAACCTCTGAAGGCCCCTTTAGCACGAGGATATTTGTTCCAGGATAATGTGCCAGGAAAGTGGCAGCAATAAGCGAATGTGTGTTTCCAGATCAGACCCTGGAGAACTGACTGGATAGAAGATGACTCCATGATGGTGGAGCTCGACTTTGGATTCTGAAGAGAGGGCCACGGGCCACCGATGTGTCTGAGGCTAAACAGAGCCAAGACAAAACCTGATCCAGGGCTCCCGTCCCCGTGGCTTTAATCCACTGGGCAGCTTCACAGAATGCTGGGATTTCGCTCCCCAAGCTGGGGCGGGGTATTTGGCTGCAGGCAGCTCAGCCTCTAGCTCAGCGTGCGGCACCGAGAGGACACATCAGGTGCCTGCCTGAACCTGATTCACCTTCAACAAAGCCCCATTATTAGTACAACACAAGAAGGCCACTACTCGTAAGGCAAAAAGTGCTGATTCTCTCCTCTTCTGAGACAAACATACAGTAAATCACGTATGCGCCCAAGCCTGGTGAACTGACTCCGCCAGCAGCAGTATCATTCAGAAACACCGACCAACAGCAATCGAACACAAGCCACCCAGTGCAATCTTAAATTTTCTAACAGATGCATTAAAAAAAGGAAAAGAGGTAAAATTAGCTTTAATATCATATCTAGCCCAACAAATTCAAAATGTTACCACTGCAATATGTCATCAATATAAAATTTGAGATTTCTTCTAAATGACATTCCCTTAGGGTTCCTCCTCTTAAGAGAACGTTTCTTCTGGGGCGCCTGGGTGGCTCAGTGGGTTAAAGCCTCTGCCTTCAGCTCAGGTCATGATCTCAGGGTCCTGGGATCGAGCCCCGCATCGGGCTCTCTGCTCAGCAGGGAGCCTGCTCCCCCCACCCCTCACTGCCTGCCTCTCTGCCTACTTGTGATCTCTGTCTGTCAAAGAAATAAATAAAATCTTAAAAAAAAAAAAAAAGAGAACATTTCTTCTCTTGTTACAGAATAGTGTTAATTACAGACTCCTCCAGCCAACATGCCACATTCACGATAATGACACCCATGAACTGGGCAGGTAGCAGGTGCTAGATCCCATAAAAGGCACTTGCTAGAGACTTTGAACTTCCAAGGTAAGAGTAAGGAGATTAGGGGGTGTCTAGGTGGCTCAGGTCATGATCCCAGGGTCCTGGGGTCGGGCCCTGCACCGGGCTCCCTGCTTAGTGGGGAGTCTGCTTCTCCCTATGCCTCTGCTCTGTTCATGCTCTCTCTCACCCTCTCACTCACACTCTCTCGAATAAATAAGTAAAATTAAAAAAAAAAAAAAAAAGAGTAAGGAGTCAGGTTATCCACACAGGACATAAAAGAAAACAGATAGCAGAAGATCTTAAGGTTACACGGCTAAGGACTGCTAAGACAGAATGAAACCAGATACGATGCAATACCTGTTCTCTTTTCTATTCTCCATCTTTGTGCTCCAACTGCTTTCTTGAAAGAGCTGGTATATGAAACACCTACATTTACTATTTACGAGGAAAAGATCTGGCAAAGGTGAGTGTACACTTATACCACTTAACAAATGGTGAAATTTAACTAATCTGAGGCTTAAGACCAAAGTCAGACTTTTCTTTCCAGGAACTTCGATGATACTTTATATATAAATCTGGACCAGTCTGAATAGGGAGTTTTGTATGCTGCTTTATTTTTTTAAGAAGGCCCCATGCCCAACGTGGGGCTTGAACTCACGACCCTGAGGATCAAGTGTGCCATGCTCTGCTGACTGAGCCAGCCAGGCGCCCCATGTACTCTGCTTTATTGAACAAGCATTTTACAACCATTTTCTTAAGTCATTACCTCCAAACACATGGACTTTGACAACCACAGAGATCTTGATTAAGAATCTCAGCCTCCCTCTTCCTTCAAATGATCATATTCATTCAATTGCTCTAAAAATACTAACCAGGGTGCCTGGGTGGCTCAGTGGGTTAAAGCCTCTGCCTTCAGCTCAGGTCATGATCCCAGGGTCCTGGGATCGAGCCCCGCATCGGGCTCTCTGCTCAGCAGGGAGCCTGCTTCCTCCTCTCTCTCTGCCTGCTTCTCTGCCTACTTGTGATCTCTATCAAATAAATAAATAAAATCTAACAACAAAACACAACAAAACAAAAAAACAAGTATCATAAAAATACTAACCGAGCAACTACAGGCATGTGTGTGTGTTAGGGGTAAAGTGGCAAATAGGGTCTTTGCCCTCACACGACCTATGTTCTAGAGGGAAAGATGAACAATACATACATGGTGTCAGGTGCTGAAATAGTAACAGGAAAAATGACAGGTGAAGGGCATGTACGAATTTCAGTCTACCCCTATTATTTATTAGGCTGAACCACAAGAAACCGCTGATATTCAACCATTTCTAACCTAGAGAATGGTCAGTTTCATACACTTCCACCAAACAGTTTCACTCCACTGGAAACCATCAGGAATGCTTCTGATGGACTCTAAATTAGAATAGTTCCCTGACGGACAGAAAACACAGAGAACTGGACTGAATAAACTTTCCTCCTGTGGAAGAGGTGAGAGCAGTGCTTGGGTGGGAAAAAATCAGTGACAGCAGATGGGGAGGGTGGGATGGACAGAGGTGATCATCTGGGGACTTCAGCAGGAGCCACTGGATGGCTTAAACTCTGCGCTACTTCTCCCCACCACCGATTCAAGGTGCAGAGCGTAGTCACCTGTCTCCATCTGGAATACCACTCTGGGAGGTGGTTCCTTTCACCAGGAATTGTGGGGGGACTGGGGGCAATGGGAAGGGACTCCTAGGAGACCACTCACTTTGTGATTTCTTCAACTACTTTATTTTTTTAAGATTTTATTTGTTTCTTTTAGAAAGAGGGAGCAGGGGGAACGGGGAGAGAGAGCGAGAGAATCTCAAACAGACCCCATGCTGAGGGTGAAGACCGAAGCGGGGCTTGATCTTGCGACCTTGAGATCACAACCTGAGCTCATATCAAGAGTCGGGATACTTAACCAATGGGACCCACTCTTCAATAATTTCTAAATTCAGAAAAAGTCTAGGATCGTGGCAGTTTATTACTGCTGAATTTTTTTTCCTTTTTTTGGGGTAAAGGAACGTTATATATTATTTATACAATTAAATAATAAAAAAGCCCCTAGCTCTTGAACCAACTGGTCGATCGTAACACCATGTAAAGACAACCAGACATGACGAGCCTGCCAATATGATGCAGAAGGGAGGGTTCTTGCCAAGAATGTGGACCTGGCTCTCCTCAGGTCCAGATTTACCGGCTGGTTTACAGCAAACACAGGGGACAGGAGAAGACACTGACACTTAAAGAGGCAATCTGTAAAATCTGCTATAGGGATGCTACAGGACAACAAGAGAAAGATTAAAAGGTGGTGGCTGAAACATTATTAGCTCACACATGTCATGAGTAGACCCCCTCTGGAATCTTACTTGAAAAAAACAACTTAAAAATAGTCCCTGGGACAACAGGGAGAAGGGGAGTGGAGTCCAGAGAGCGAATACTAAGGAAACATGAAGCCATTTGCTTGTGTCTACGGGCGTTCTTATCTATTCACATTACAGACCACAGCGAACTGAGGAATGGCAGAGCGGGGAACTGGTCACCGGAAAGCTGATTCTTACTCTGGTCTGCAGCTGTTTAACAACTTCCCACAATGCAAAGCTTCAAGCACATCTGTGGGACTGCCCTCCGCTCCTTCCCAGGCCCCCATACAACCTCCATTTGAACTGG